GGGCAGGGAATGCAGGACAGGAGCAGGCACAACTTCGACCACCGCTGCGGATTCCACACATGACTTCATGCGTTCCCCTTCCGTACGCGGGCCAGTGACGCCCGGTCGAGGAGTTTCACTGTTTGTTTTCTGGAGAGACTTCGTCGAAGCCCCAAACCCTGATGCACCCCACCTCAAGAGGCGACACGCTGCCCCCCAGCTTGGCCATCCGCCAGCTGCCCGCGTCCGCGGCCGGCCCCGGCCTGAACCGAAGCCAGAGCGCCTCCGGCACGCGCGTCGGCGGCTTGCCGCGCCAGATCACCGTCAGTTGAATTGGGTCCGCTGCTTCGACCGCCGCCGCCTCTCCCACTCCCGCTCCTTCACCCACCCGCTGCCCTGCGTGCGCCGCCCCACCCTGCCTCGCGCCCCCCGTTTCGCCCTCCTGCCGGCCGCGGTCGCGGGCGGCGGCTGGGCGCATGCGCGCACGCACGCCCACCTCCTCTGGTGCAATGAGCAGCTCCCGTCGGCGCTCGTCGGCCCTGCCAGCGCTGCTGCTGCTGCTGCTGCTGCTGCTGCTGCTGCTGGCGCCTTTGCCGCTCGTGTTGATGCTGTCGCGGTTGCTGTCGCTGCCGCCGCCGCCGCCGCCGCATTGAAAGTGGTGCCACGTCTCCCGCGGCGCCCCCACCTGCTCAACCAGGCGCGCGGGCCACTTGTAGCGCAGCCACAGGTCGAGGGCCCCGCTGCTGCTGCTGCTGCTGCTGCTGCTGCTGCTGCTGCTGCTGCTGCTGCTGCTGCTGCTGCTGCTGCTGCTGCTGCTGCCTCCGCTGCTTCCGCCGCCGGCGGTGCTGGCATTCAGGTACCAGAGACCATCTAGCTTGCCCTGCAGGTGCGGGTCGGTTGGAAAATGCGGGTCTGTGCACAATGTGCATCTTCTGTTGTGGCCGACTAGCAACCAAAAGCAGGCAGCAGGGCGCATCACACCAGAGGGTGGGGGGTGCCGGAGCGACGGGACAGTGCCCAGGGTGGCCGGGTCAAAGGCCTGGGCAGGGACGATCCTGGTGGGTGCGCCTGGTCAGCACGGCCCAGTTATTGATGACGCGGCCTCAGGGCGTGCGGGCGCGGCGCGCGCGGGGGCGGGGGCGACGGGGCGGCGGGGCGGCCGTGCGGCCTGGTGTTGACGCGGCCAACATATAGGATGTTCAGCCTGCAACCGGGCGCCTCGTCGGGTGGGCGCTCACCGTCACAGTGACCTCCTCGTCCCAGCTGCCCGACAGGTTGGTCTGCGGAGGGCGGTCAGAAAGCGGGTGGCAGCGGCGGTGTTCGGCTCGGCGGGGCGGTCGGGGTTTGCATTTGAAGGGTGTGCGTACCACGAGCTGCGTGGGGCCTGACATGGGATGCGACAGCGGCACTCCAGGTTGGATAAACCAGGCAGGCTCCCAGCAAACGCAAGGTCTGGAGCCAGCCTTCCTACGGCTGCGTGGGATTGTCACATATATGGAACCAGCCGTTTTGTAACCACCCGCCTTTCCGAAGTCTTGGTAGAACCACCACGACACGTTTGACTGGTAGGCGTACTCTGACCAGATCACGTCATACGACGCCTCGCTGTAAACCGAGTACAGCGGCTGGGCGAAGCCGCCGCCGCTGCCGGCCGCCCAGTCGACGGGCGCCGGGCGATGCCGCCCGTGGGGGCCGGCGCTCGCGCTGTCGCGGCGGTGAGACAGGCTGCTCAGGCCGCCTGCATTGGTGATCACAACAATTTCGCGATCTGGTCCGGTGCGACTATGGGACAGGGTGCGCGCCCATGCACACGAGCAGCACTGGCGTGCCCCAGCCAGAGCGTCCCGTAACTCCAGGCAGGCGGGGCTGCCCCAGTCACTGCCACCATGCCGCCTCAAACCACCCATAAAGAATACAAGGTATTTAAACACCCTGCCTTCCCTGGCTCTGGCTCTCCCTCACCTGCATCCACGTCCACCTCCAGATCCCACCCGCCGCACACAAAACGGTGACGGGCCCCCGCCGCCAGCGCGACGCGCCGCGCGCCCCTGCCGACCACCACCCCCTCCCCCGCGCCCGCGGCCGCGGCGGCGCGCGCGGCGTCGTCGGCCGCCACGGCCGCGGCCACCGGGTGGCCGCGAGGCAGGGCGGAGAGGGCGTGGTCTGTGTATGCGGCTTGGCGGCGCCAGGTGGAGATCAGGGCCTCGTAATTGGGGCAGCGGGGCCTGCGCTTGGTCGGGTTGGGTGGGCAAGGGCAGCGGGCCAGTAAATCTCGTTGCTGCTCACAACCCCTGCGGGTGGGCGGAAGTTGCCGTCATCAACGACCAACCCAGCTCAAGACCCTGCGCCTGCAGCCCAACCCGCCCGCTTGTTGCCCCGAGCCATCGCCATTTGTGCGGCGGCAGCCGGCAGCCGGGTGCAGAGGTCGTGCACCTGCGATCGGCACTGCATGCACAACCGGTTGCGCCCTGCGGGTGCACCCTGTGCCCTGTTTTGTGGTGCACCCCATCCAAAGCCAAGCAGACGCCAGACAGAAAAGATCTCATCAGCGCTGCGACTGCGGGCGGACGCCGCGTGTGCGCGTCAAGAGGCCGGCTCACGTGGCGGTGGCGCAGGCGAGGAAGCCGGGGCCAGTGTAGTTCTGGGTGTCATGGAGTGTGTACTTGACATCGGCGCCCCATGTGTGCTCAGGGACCTGGGCTTGTTGGCGGAAAGGGCACGGGCTGTTGGGGTAAATGTCATGCGGCTGTCGTTCAAGGAAATATGAGTTGTTTTCCCCTGACGGCAATTCAAGATTGAGCGCGGCTGGGTGTACAAGCGCTGCTAGACGGGCGTCTGCAGCGAGCTGTGTCACTGACAGCTTCTGCGTTTGCCCCTGTGCCGCCGCAGTGCAACGGTGTGGTGATAGCGCGCCGGTCCGCCCTCTTATCAGCTACGTGCTTGCAAATGCGGATGATCCAAGACATTGTCATGGCAGTGCGATGAGGGGTTCAGGTCTTCACACCGGGCCAGCCTGCAAATAAAGGCCTGGCAGGGCCTGGGAGTCGTGTGTGTGGCTGGCCATCACCACCCTGCTCACCTTTAGCAGCAGGCGCGTGAAGTTTGACCAGGCAGGACCCTGGGTCAAACAAGGGAAGGGGGCCGTTTTGTTTGCGTATCAGAGGGGCAGCAGGGGTTGCGTCGTTGGCACGGGTTAGGGGTGGGCCGCGCACGCGTGGATTGACGCCGTCAAGTCACCGCCGATGGTGCAGCACGGCAACAAGCCTGAGTGGCGCATGAGGGCACCATGGCGGCCCTGGTGCTCGCCCAGCGCATCCAGGTGCCAAAGCAGAACTGGGCCGCGACGGCAGGGCGAGGGCGGGGCGGCTGCATGGGTGTGGCGGCCGCACCTCCGAGGTGCACTGCGCGTCGGCCGCGCAGGCCGCCGCCGCGCGAGCGGCGGCCCTGAAGCGCGCCGTCTTCTTTGGGTCGCTCTGGACGCCGAATATCCAGGTGTCGCCGATCTCCCCTAGAATTTGATGTTCAGGACGAGAGTGCGATCAGACAGGTCAGTGATGAAATGTTTGGGGGATGAGACGAAGTGATCTCTGCGCCCATCCGTGGTGCTGCCGCGGCGGCTGTCCATCGCGGCTGTGCGGCTGCACCCGCACACTCGGACAAATTGAAAGCGCAGGCTGTGGCATTCGACACCGCGCAACTGACAAGCCTCAGCATCTTGAAGGGTCCAATCATGAATCCCTGCAACCGTCAACGCCGCCGGCGTGACAGCCGTGCGGGCGCCCACCTGTCACCACGGGCAGCCACACGCTGCCGCCCTCGGCCACCGCCCACACCGCGTCAGAGAAGGCCTCGAACGTCGACGCCACCACTGGAAAATTTGAGTGGGTCGTGCACAAACATCGGGAGGCGAGACGTTCACGCAAGGTGCAATCTAAGAGATTGCTGCTGTCGACAGAGGCCGTGGGCTTGGCGCGGCATTGGTGCTTGCTTGGCACTGTGTGATCAAACGAGGCGGTCAAAGTGTGGTCAACACGTGCGGGCCGCTTTCGTCTGCCGGCTGACCTTTGTGGCCGGGGAAGCTGTTGCGCAGCATCTGGAAGACCGTGAAGACCTCAAACACGGAGGTGGGGGGCCCTACAAAGTTGAGGGGGAAGTATCAGAATCAATCAGCACAACAACATCAATTGTTTGGGGCCCGGCAAAGAGGCCCGGATGCAGTGCATTCTGAGGCTGTTTGCTACTCGACCTCGGGCGCCGGTCGCTGCATCGAGGCGGTTGGCTGACGCCAGCGAGCGACGCGAGGCATCCTTTCGGCCCCCCCCGGAAGCCAAAACCTGAGCGCCTCGGGCTACTGCTGCTTGGGTGTATTTCTTGCGTTTGCGTGTGGGTGTGCGGTCGCCGACCCCCACCTGTGTTGTCGTTGCGCCAGGAGGTGCACAGCACGTGGTTTAGTCCCTGAGCCCTGATGCACTGGTCTGGGGGGTCCAGGAAGACCTCGGGTGACCCGGGGTAGGGCCGGCTGATGCCCCCGTAGCCGCCTGGTGATTTTGCGTGCGGAAGAAGAAGGTACGAGCACTTGACATTGTGAACAAGGGCGAGTGCCAGGGCCAGGATGAGTGCAGGTGGGGGGGGGGATGGCGGACGCGGCTGCAGCAGACTAGAATTTGGCCATGTCTGTATTATTGAATGATTTTTCCATCATGGGAACAATTCTGTGTTGACATATGATGGGTTCCCGGGACAAGTGGCTGGGCTGACGGACTGAATGCAACAACAAGACTTGTCCATCCAGCGCCGTCCGCGGCCCGCGCAGCGCCGTGCTCGGGCCGGACGCCGCCAGTGCCTCGAACAAGCAGGTGCATGGCGGACGCCACAAACGGCGGGGCGCTGCATGCCGAACCCCTCACCAGGGTGCACGAATGTCAGGAGCTCCTGGCCGCTCTCGGTGTCTCGCCACAGGAACGGTGTGTACTTTGGGACTCCTGGCGGCGCGCTGCCTGTATTGACGCCTGCGGTGCGACAGGCAAGTGCAAGTGCTTGGTCACGATGCTGAGGCGGCAGCGGGGCGTTGCGGCGCCATGCGTCAAGATGACGATTGCTGGGCTCCCTTCACCACATTGTGCCCCACCAGCTGGCGAGCACATCAGATGAGCCAGGCACCACAGGCCACAACGCCAAGCTGAAGCCATCGGCAGCAAAAAAGCGGACGCGGCAGCCAGCGCCCGAGCATCCGCCAGCCAGCAATGCCAGGGCGCTGAGTTAGCTGCGGCTGCAGCTGCTGCGAGCGGCACCCACCGATGCTGAGAGATTTGACGCCGGCGGCCCTCATAAGGGGGATGGCGGCGCGTGTAATGCCTGGGACGTCCCGCTGAGAGGGATTCAATGAGTCTGTATTAGCGAGCACAAGATGAGTCTGGAGAATAACAACAACTGTCAGCTCGCAACCAAAAGCGAAACCTTAACGCCTCAGGTAGGCTTCTTCCACTGGAAGCAGCAGCGCGATGCAGTGGCGCCCGCCCAGGCACGGTTCTTCACCCCTCAGGAGCATGGCGGCTGAATCGGAATTGCGACTGTGCGCTCAAGCTCGCGCGCACGTTCATACACGCGCTGAGTACAGGCAGTCGCTCACCAGGATGGCGGTCGTCTTGTTGGGCTGGCCGAACGCAGCGTCGAGAGACCTCGTTAGGTCGAACGCGGCGCCAAACAGCCAGGGGTTGGGGTAAAACTCGTACTGGGCGTTGTGCGGGTGCTATTGGTGACGCCGGGTGGTGTTGTGGGCGGGGGGCGGTCGGTATGAGGGTGCCTCAGTGTGCTGAGAGTGACGCATTCGGAGTTGGTCAACCGGCGACATGGGGTGCGGCGCCAGGCGGCTGCGGGCGCTGGAGCCGAAGGCCGGCGGGAGTGCGCGTTTTTCTGTGAGCAACCTCGCCAGCGGCAACACGAGGCGGGCTGGGCGGGGGGGAGGGGGATCGCCGGGCCGCACCGCGTGCCATGTGATGGCGCCCTGGCGTATGCCCCGGCGGACCAGCCGCCGCGTGTAGCTGTCGGGGCACGCCACCCCCAGGTTTGGCGGGCAATTAAAGAACAGGTCGAGGAGCCTGCGGCATGTGCATGTATGTGTGCGCGTGCATTGTGAGGAAGGGATGTTATGTGTGCGTGCGTTGTAAGAAAGGTATTTTGTGCATGCATGCATGCGCGCGTGCGTGTGTGCGTGCGTGTGCGTGTGTGTGTGTGTGTGTGTGTGTATGTGTGTGTGTGTGTGTGTGTGTGTGCTTATGTGTGTGCGTGTGTTTGTGTGTGTGTATGAATGCATGAGTGTGGACGCTTGCATGTGTGTGTGCAGGAGAGAGAGCGTGTGCATGGCGTGCGTCGGAGCTCAAGTTCTTGTCGAACACAGGGGTGTGATGTATCTTGCGTCAAAGGGCTGAAGCACCCGGTGCCAAGGCCGACGCCCGCAGCAAGCAACAAACCGTCTGGTGTCGCACGGCCGGCGCCAAATAGCACCCCCGGCATCGCAGCTCGCCGCACGCGCCCACACCATGAGTGGGTCGTGTAGACGTAGCGCTGCCCGGGGTCCCACCAGCCAAAGGCGCGCACCGCGTCCGCGATCCACACCTGCGTCGGTGCATGGTCGACGGCACTCTGGTTTTGGCTGCCGGTGCACGGCCATGCTGGCACGGCGGGGTGGCGGGGGCATCCGCGCATGGGTGCTTGTGAGGGATTTGAGCAGCCGGGTGTGAGCAAGGTCATGGCCGTGGCTCCGCATCTTCCCACACCCATGAATGTCATCATGCAGTGTGCATGCCGGTTGCGCAAGCGAGACGGCACACTCGTGGCTTCATCACAGAAACGAGCCGGCCATGTTGAGCGCCGGGCTGCCAGGTGTCGCGCCCACCGCTCGTGGTAGGAACTCTGTGAAATATGCGCTGAGGACTTCGCTATCCAGGCCGGTCTGCCGCTCCTCTATCCAGTATCCCACGTCCACTGTGGTTCGGGTGGGGCGTGACTGGCGGTCGGTGGCCCATCGGCTGGCAGGCACAACCGCTCGTGAGCAGGACGCAGCGTTGGTTGCGATCGGTCGCGCGCCTCACAAGCCTGCTGTTCTCTAAGCGGCGGATGCCCAGGTATAGAAACGCAGAGCTGCGGGGTCTGGATCCGGCTGGTTGATCGCTGCTGGCGTCACCCGTGCGTTGCGGCACGGCGGGTCCAGTTCGATCACGCACGGTGGTTGCCGAAGACCACGTGCACGGTGGGCTGTTCAGCATACGCCAGGGCGCACAGCACGAAGAGGACGGCACCACACAGGCAGCAGACATGTGATTTCATGCCCATGATCTTGCTGATTTTGAAAGTGTGATAGTACTGTAACAACAAATGCTACCGACACAGTCATAAATAAGTATGCATGTCATCCTGCTTGGATCTTTTAAGTCATTATCATCGACAGCACCATCGCCCGGAAACTTTCATGAGTGTCGCAGACACTCGCGTATCCTTAGCAAAACACAACAATTGACTCCACCTCTACCATCTGAAGACAATGCGCTCTCTGGCTTCTGGGCGCTGCACCCACTGCGTCTGCAGTGTGTTGCCAGTGCGTGCCCTGCTGCCTAGAGCGCTCGCCCCATCTTCACGGCAGCGCGGCGCGGCAGCTGAAGGCCCAAACAGTGGGTGCAGCAACAGGAGCAGCAGCATCAACAGCAGCAGACGCAGCAGACGCACCGCAAATGGCAAGCTGCGGGCGTCGCGGCGGGACGATGATGTGCAGCCAGTGCCGCCGGTGGCGCTGGCGACGAGCGACGAGCCGGAGGCGCTGCGGCGGGATGCAGACTGTGAGCACATTGTGATATACTTTTCAATGATTGCCTCTGAATTTCAACAATTATTCCATGAATTTTCCTTTGAGTGAGCCGTTTTGAGTAATGTGCAGCTAGGCTTGCCGGCCTGACGAACCTGCCACCCATCCCGACCACACCCGCGCTCTTACGCCCCTCCGCCCCGTCTGCCCGGCGCACCCCAACACCCATGCCGCCCGCTGCCCCCGCCGCAAAACCAACAACCCAAGGGATTGCCGGCATGATTGCCCTGTGGCTTGACGAGGAGTGGTGCCCCCAGGGGGTGCACCAGGACCTGGGCCGCGCGGCCGGCGACGCCTACGCCCGCATCCGCGCCGGCGGTGAGCGGCGCGCCCCGCACCAGCCGCGCGCAAGCTGCACTGCGCGCCGTTGGCCTCGCGCTGGCCCCCACCATCCTCTCAGCACAGCCATCGCTGTCCCCACCCTAAACTCCCACGGGCACATGCGCTCACACACACAAGATCACACGCACGCGCACACACACACACACACACACACACACACACACACACACACACACGCACGCACGCACGTACGCACGCACACACATGCACACACACATACACACACGCGCGCACGCGCACGCAGGGGAGGACGAGATGGGCGGCCTGCTGTTGGCCCTCAGCAACGAGCTTATGGGCTTCAATTACCGGGAGTGCTTTGTTGGCCCCTTTGACGTCTCAAACAAGGTGGGGCCGGAGGCCTAGGACAACGATGCAAGCAAATTCGCCATTTGGGGCCCCTTTGCTTTGCTTGGCCAGGCAGCCGCGTTGGAGCATTCCGACCCAAGAGCAAGGGGCGGGGCCTTGCCTGTTGCGGCATGCGCCGGGGCCACCCCGCGCAGCAGCTGCGCCAGCGAACCGGGAGCTTGCCGCCCCCTTTGTTCCCGCACGCCAAATTGCCGTCCTGCTGGTGGCATTCGCCTTGCCGCTTGCATCGAAGCCTCTGGCACCTGCCCGGGCACTTCGTCACAGGCCTGACATTCACCCTGCCGCGTTTCTGATACACCCCAAACCCTATATCATGTCGCCCAGGTGGTGAAGATGCTGATGCAGCGCGAGGGCACCGATGTTTGCTGCACGTCAGATTCGGATGCGACGCGGGCCGCGCGGTTCGAGGCGGGCTCGGACCGCCAGGCGTGACCTGATCAATCAGCGCCTTCTTCCATTTTTTCCCGCCGAGCAGGTCGTGGCCCTCAAAATGCGAAACAAATGTGAATGCGAAAGCAACCCTTTCGCGCCACCGCCGACGGCGCACGCAGCCAGCCATTTCCTCTGCACAGTTTGTTGTTTGCCGGCCTCATGCGCCCTGCACGGCTGCGCGCCAGCGGCCGCTGCAGGGTTCAACACCCACCTGCTCCCGCCGCGCTCTCCTTCGCGTGCTTCTTAAGGCACAAATCGAGAGCGGCGCCGCTGGTAACCAGCGGGTTGCCGGCAGTAGGCCTTTTGCCTTCAACTTCAAACCCTAGAAAGGCAGTGTGCATACAGCAAGTTGCAAGCCTGTGCGGTTTCCCTTAAGAAGGGGGGAACCTTGGGTTTTGGCTGCTGGCTGTAATTTGCGAATTGCTGGGCGAGCGCCTCCTTGCTGTATGCACCGCCTCAACCATGCCAGGGAGTGGATGTAAAATCTAGAAATGACAGGCCGACGACTGCCATCCTTTGCAAACCCTCAAATGTCCTGTACCATTTGTACTGTGTCTGCATCCTCCTGGAACGCGGGGTGGTGAGGGGGTATGCACCGTTTGTGAAGAGTGGTGTGAAGGTGTGGGGTGCACGCAGGTGTATGTGGCGGAGAGCTCCCGGGTGCGGCCCCTACGGTCGTCGCCCAGGCAAGATTTTGAATCGTCCAAAGGACCGCAGCGCGACGTTGCGGGGAGATGACATGCGGGGCGTCATACTGGCGTGTGGCAGCAGGTGTCTTTTCCACACTGCATCGGGCCAGGTGTAGCAGTCTACCTCAGGCTGATGTTGCGGGTCTGCCTTGAGCCAGATGATGAATGCCACCCACGTGTTTATCATAGCCTGTTGCAGGCCGCTTTGTGGGCGGCCCGTTGCTGTCGATCGCTTTGTCTACACTCTGTAGAGCATGCATGTAGGAGCACGGCTGAATGGCCTTTATTTGCCCCCTTGCCTTACCCCCAGATTGCTGATGTGCTCTCGTGCTGTAGAGGTGCACAACACTGCAGCTGGGGTCCAGGCCATGTGCGGGAGTGTAATACTGCACTGTGCCTCAGCAGAAAGAGTCGTCGGGTTACACGTTTGGGGGTCGGGTGCCCAGATGCGGCAGTCCGGGCCGCTGTGTGCAGTCACCACCTCTGTCGCTTGAGCTGTCATTATATGTATTAAACATATTGCGATACAGTTGCCGCAATTGTTGCTGTTTCGAATGAGATTCCGACATGCAGCGAGCCTTCCGCGCAAACCGAAACGGTACTCCATCTCCGCCACCCCATCGATCGAAGCGTAGAATACCGCTGTGATTTGAGGTTGTCACATCAATCAGATAAGCATCCTCGCCGATCGGCCCGGTCGATTTAAAGACGAGCTGTCATTGGCATCATCAACTTGCGCCCGCGGGCTGCGTGGCCAAGGATCCGGGCAGTGCTTGAGCGTATAGAGATAGAAGCTCAACATCAGCGCGGCAGTGGGGCTGTCGACATGGACGGACGAGGACCTCGCGGCGACGCGAGCGGGACCAGCTGGCCAGCTGGTGAGGCACGCCGCAGCCTGCAGTCACCGGCTCTTGCTCGTGTCACCTGCGCGACACTTGGCACGTCAGACCAAAAGTTTTGACAGATATGTGCTTGAGCTTTGGGGTCGTGGGTGGCAATGCGAACGGCTCTTGCGCATGGCACGGCATCGAGCGTTGATCACGCACGATGTTGTGCATCCGAACAGCTGGCGGACTGCCGGTGCCTTCGTTGCAGCGGCCCCCGCCAACCCCCAGATGAACTCTTCACATCCGCCCCTCTCATTCTGAACCTTAACAGGTGCATCGGGCCCCGCCCCTGAGGGTACCGCCACCCAACTGCAGCCCTCCACAGCTGCTGGAGGGCAGAATGCGCCAAGCGAGCACTGGAGCTGGCGGCCGGCGCCAATCCAAACGCTGTTCTACCAGCAGCAACAGCAGCAGCAGCAGCAGCAGCAGCAGCAGCAGCAGCAGCAGCAGCAGCAGCAGCAACAGCAGCAGCACCACCACCAGCAACAGCCACAGCAGCAGCAGCAGCTGCAGCACTCAGACGATGCATCATTTGCATGGACTCCGCCGCGCCTGGGTGGGCGCGAACTGCATGCAAAACAGGGCTGCATCAGGCTTTGTGTCCTCAAAGAAGTGCTTTTGCTCCTGTCACTCTCTCAGGAACAACACTTGCCAAGACTGCCGCACCCCGTTAGTTGCCCGACGCCCTGCCTCAGAACAAACATCTAAGTGCGCTCCGTTGCGGTGCACCCCCCCCCTCACCTGCCACCCCCAGGTTTTCTCCGCTGGTGCCGCAGCTGCGACCCCACTGCCGCCGTCGCCCTGGCCGCTGCGCCCCCGGGCCAGCGGCCCCCAGAGCAGGCGGCCGCGCGGGGCCGTGAATGGGCGGCTGCGCTCGAGCTAGGCTGCGGCATAGAGGCGCTGCAGGAGGGGCTGGAGCATGTGCTGGACCAAGACAGCGCAGAGTTCATGCGTGAGCACATGCAGCAATTGGGCCCAGCGCTGCGGCAGCTGCTGCCGCGCCTGAACGCCGCGCCGGGCGCGTCGTTGCTGACAGAAGGCTTGTGGCAAGAGGCGGCGGCCGCGCTAAGGGGGGCGCGCCTGGACCCGCCCAAGGCGGTGCACGTGGTATGGTGGGCGGTGTGCAGACAGCAGCAGCGCCAAGGGGAGGAGCAGCAGCGGCGGCGGCGGTCGCCGTGGGGACGACCGCGTCAGCCGCGCTACATGTCGGCATTTGAAGGCGTGCATTGGTTGGAGGCGTCGCGCAAGTGGGCCGCCAAGGTGCCCGCAGGGGACCGCCTTTCAACAATCGCCAAGTGCGCGGGCGGCGGCGCCTCGGCCTGGCGGGCGGGCATGGGTGGAAGCTGCCGGCAGCGCCTGGTTTCGTCCCCCTTGAGGCAACCATGAGAGCGAACGCCATATGCGCGCAAGCCTTGACCCCCCGCGTGGGCACCACCCCTCATGCGATTGCTGCCTCCCAATGCAAAAAAACAGGTTCGATGACGAGGAGTTCGCCGCGCGCGTGTTCGACGTCGCTGCGCTGCTGCTGATCGGCGAGGCAGGGTGCGTCAACTTTGGGGCTGCTGACGCCACGGTGTTGACCGGGCAGCTGCAGGGCAGTAAGGCGCTGCGGAGCATTGGCAGAATCGGGTACGAGCTGCGCAAGTACAGGGTTGGCCATGCCGAGACAGGAGGGGCGGCCGTCGCGGCAACGGCAGCAGCGACATTGGGTGCGCCGGCCGCTGCGCCCGCAGCGGCCGGCGTCGAGATCGGGAGTGCGCCAGGTGGTGCGGCGAGGACGACAGCGCTCCACACATTAGCGGTGGCGACAGTAGCGGTTCCTCAGATCAGCCAGCAGGACCACAACACCATTGAGCAGCACCAGAGCTGGCAGCAGACGCGTGACATGGCACAGCAGCAAGGGCATCAGCAGCAACAGCAGCAGCAGCAGCAGCGGCAGCGGCAGCCTTGGCGCAAGTCCGGCTACCGAGGAGTGTATTGGCACTCTGCGCATCAGTACTGGTACACACGAATACGGCGTGGAAGATACCAATGCAAGCTCCCCGGCAGGTGCGATGCCTGTTTAACACATCAGCCAGTAGCAATAAGGTCGACCCCATGACCGCCCGGCTTGCAGTTGCGGCGCTGGTCGGAGCGGCTCTGCGTGCTCCAGTCTCAAGCCAGCCGTTGTGCCCACAAC